AAAATGCTCAATACAGACAATGTAATATTTTTAAAAAATGGCTGAATTAAGGAGAGAAAAATGTGCAGCATATATTCTTTTTTAAAAAATTTATTCTGATTTATTATACATGATGGCAGAGTGCAATTCCTTTTACATTACACATATAGAGCACAATTTTTCAAGACACTCAGTGTATGCAAAGTATTTTCACGCCATTCGTGTCTTCATGCATGTACTTAGGGTAATGATGTCTAACTCATTCCACCATCATTCCTACCCCTTTTTCCCCTCCTTCCCCTCCCTCCCCTCTGCCCTATTTAGACTTTGTCTATTCCTCCCATGCTCCCCCTCCCAAGCTCATTATGAATCAGCCTCCTTATATCAGAAACATTTGGCTTTTAGTTTTTTGGGGATTGGTTAAGTTCACTTAATATGATTTCTCCAACTCCATCCATTTACCTGCAAATGCCATGATTTTATTATCTTTTATTGCTGAGAATATTCCATTGTATATATATGCCACATATCCCTTATCCATTCATCTACTGAAGGGCATCTAGGTTGGTTCCACAGTTTAGCTATTGTGAATTGTGCTGCTATAAACATTGATGTGGCTGTGTCCCTGTGGTATGCTGATTTTAAATCCTCTGGGTATAAACTGAGGAGTGGGATAGCTGGGTCAAAGAGTGGTTCCATTCCCAGTTTTCCAAGGAATCTCTATACTGCTTTCCATATTGGCTGCACCAATTTGCAGTCCCTCTAGCAATGTATAAGTATGCCTTTTCCTCACATCCTCGCCAACACTTGTTTTTATTCTTAATAGCTGCCATTCTGACTGGAGTGAGATGATATCTTTTTGAGTAGTTTTGATTTGCATTTCTCTAAATGTTAGAGATATTGAAAGTTTTTTTCATATGTTTGTTGATTGATTGTATATCCTCTTCTGAGAAGTGTCTGTTCAGTTCTTTGGCCCACTTATTGATTGGGTTATTTGTTTTCTTGCTGCTAAGATTTTTGAGTTCTTTATATATCCTAGAGATCAGTGCTCTATCTGATGTGCTTGTGGTATAGATTTGCTCCCATTCTGTAGGTTCTCTGTTCACCTCACTGATTGTTTCTTTTGCTGAAAAGAAGCTTTTTAGTTTGAATCCATCCCATTTATTTATTTTGGTTTTAATTCTTGCACTACAGGAGTTTTATTAAGACAGTTGGGGCCTAATCTGACATGATGGAGATTTGGGCGCCTACTTTTTCTTCCATTAGGTGCAAGGTCTTTGGTTTAATTCCTAGGTCCTTGATCCACTTTGAGTTGAGTTTTGTGCATGGTGAGAGATAGAGGTTTAATTTCATTTTATTACACATGGATTTCCAGTTTTCCCAGCACCATTTGTTGAAGAAGCTATCTTTTCTCCAATGTATGTTTTTGGCGCCTTTGTCTAATATAAGATAACTGAAGTTATGTGGGTTAGAATCTGTGTCCTCTATTCTGTACCATCGGTCTATAGGTCTATTTTGGTGCCAATACCATGCTGTTTTAGTTACTATTGCTCTGTAGTATAGTTCTAGGTCTGGAATAGTAATGCCACCAGTTTCATTCTTCTTGCTAAGGATTGCTTTAGCTATTCTGGGTCTCTTATTTTTCCAGATGAATTTCATGATTGCTTTTTCTATTTCTATGTGGAATGTCATTGGGATCTTGACTGGGATTGCAATGAATCTGTATAATGCTTTTGGTAGTATGGTCATTTTGACAATATTAATTCTGCCCATCCAAGAACAAGGTAGATCTTTCCATCTTCTAAGGTCTTCTTTGATTTCTTTCTTTAGCATGCTGTAGCTTTCATTGTAGAGGTCTTTCACCTCTTTTGTTAAATATATTCCCAGGTATTTTTATTTTATTTTTTGAGGATATTATAAATGGGATGGTTTTCCTAGTTTCACTTTCAGCAGATTTGTCACTGATGTACAGAAATGCCTTTGATTTATGGGTGTTGATTTTATATCCAGCTACTTTGCTGAATTCATTTAGCTTGCCTTGCATGCACAAGGCCATGGGTATGATCCCTAGTATCGCAAAAAAAAAAAAAAAAAAAAAGTGGAAGCCTGAGGAGTAAAGGAAAATCCCTTCTGCAATAATAGCTCCTTTAAAGATCCATCATACAGTGCCTGGGACCAGGAAATTTCCACAGATAATTTTGTCTGCACTAGTATTATTAAATCTGAAAACGACATGTAAGAGAGCATTTGATAATAAGCTCTGCTCACTATGGATTCCTTCCAAGAGCCGATGTTCAAACTTTCCACTTTAGGATTTTATTTGAGAGGATGAGGAAGAAGGAAGTTGAAACTTAAAGAGATCATTGTCAGTTGGGTGCTGTGGCCTGTAATCCCAGTGACTCAGGAAGTTGAGGCAAGAGGATCACAAGTTCAAGGCTAGCCACACAACTTAGGTCCTCAGCACCTTAGTGAGATCCTGTCTCAAAAACTGAAAAACAAGCTGGGGATGTAGCTAAATGGTAGAGCACCCTTGGGTTCAACACCTAAATGCAGCACTAGGAAAAGAGAGAGAGAGAGAGAGAGAGAGAGAGAGAGAGAGAGAGAGAGAGAGAGAGAGAGAGAGAGAGGTCATTGTCTTTAGTTTGGAAGGGTATGTTATGGATAACTCCAGAATTTATGCAATTTATGCTTTGGACTTGAAGCATTATCGGAAACTGTCAATATTAAAATGGTCAACAATTTATTCCACTGGCATTTAGTGAATTCCATGTGCCAAACACACTGTGTCAGTGGGAATGCAAAGATGAATGAGATATGATGGGCGCCCCTCAGATCTCACACACTTGGGTAGCAAATGGACATATTTGCCCATTTTTATGATTGGTTTTAGGCAGTTGGTAGTTTCCTACTTCTGCATCCTCATCCCTGAGATGGAGACCGAGGTGTGGTGGTGCAGGTTTGTAATCCTAGCTGCTCAGGAGGTTATAGTCAAGAGGTTTACAAGTTTGAGACCAGTGACACCTTGTCTGAAACTAAAGGTTTGGAGATGTACCTTAGTGATAGAGTGCTTGCCTAGCATATGTGAGGCCCTGAGTCGGTGGAGCATACCTTCTTCTACTCCCACTCTCTGCTCTGTTACTGCTTATTGTATGGTCATTGACAAGTAAGGTTTTTTTTTTTTTTTGCCGGGCAAGGGGGGACTGAGTATTGATCCCAGAGGCACTTTACCACTAAGTTATATCCCTAGTCTTTTTTATTTTGAGACAGGTTCTTGCTAAAATGATGAGGCTGGCCTTGAACTTGCAATCTTCCTGCTTCCCTAGTCGCTGGGAATACAGGCATGACCGATCATGCCCAGCAACAAGTACCCAGTACTGCAATGAAGAAAGATGTAAATGGCTGGGTGTGGTGGTGCACACCTCTAATCGGAGCAATGCCAAGCAATGCCGGAGGCTGAGGCAGGAGGATCACAAGTTGAAGGCCAGCCTCAGCACACACCAAAAAAAGTAAATAAATGAAAGTAGAGAGATAAAATGGCAAAGGGATTAACCTCAGGCTAGTCACGAAGAGACCTGAGTTAGATGAGGTGACTTGCTCTCTGGCCAAGCTGATGAATTCTTCAGGCTTTTATTTCTTCCTTGGACCCTCAGGATAACAGTAGTACTACCTTAGATTACATTACAAGAATGACATTGAAATAATCCATGTGAAGAGCTTGGCTCATAGAAAACACCTGGGAAATTTTAGCTGCTGTCACTACTACTATTAGTATTACTATCTCTTAAGTATTCAGAAAAAAAATCCCACATTTGAAATAATTGGCACACTTGCCATTGTGAGGACAGCACATTGGAAGGAAGATAAAATGTTTTCATTTTCGAATCAGGTCAGGCATCACGGAGTTATTGTCTAATGCAGATCCAGCTCTGCAGTGAGCATCCATTATTTAAAGATGGCAAGGAGACTATATGTATTTGTGATCCTCATTATTTGAGTTCTATATTTGCAAATTTTCCTACTTGCCAAAGTTTATTAGTAACCTTCAATCAAAACTTAGGTGCTTTCATGGTCATTCTGAGATGTGTGCAAAGCAGTAAAAATTTGAGTTGACCAAGAAGCTTGTTGCCACCAGGACTCTCTCTGCCTTCTCCTTTCATCTCTCCTACTGTGAACAGGTGTGGTTTTCAAAGTCTCTGTAGTGCCATACTCCTTGCATTTTTTTTTTGTTCTTTTTTTTTGTTGTGATTTTGCTGTTTGAAATGGCTCCTGAGTATAGTATGGAAGTGCTGTCTAGCTTTCCAAAGTGCAAGAAACCTGGGATATGCCTTATGGAGAAAATTCAAGCATTCGTGAAGCTTCATGCAGGAATGATTTCAGGGTTGGGGGTGTGGCTCAGTGGTAGAGCACTTGACTAGCGTGCACAGCAGGCATGAGGCCTGGGTTGAATCCCCAGCACCTAAAAAAAAAAAAAAAAAAAAAAAGGAATACATTACAGGGGTTTTTTTTTTTTTGGCTATGTGTCCAAGTGTTAATGAAGAAAGGTTGATGAAAATGTAGTGACAGAGGCTTGAAGAAATTAACTCTGTACTTTCCTTAGACACAATGTCTCAGTATTGACTGAGTCAGTGGGGTACAGGGAACCAGGGATTCTATGTAGGAGTGGCAAGAGTACTACTCTCTGGAGCGTCTGGGAGGTATTGAGTTCTGGACGGATGGACAGAGAGAGACCCCCAAAGACCACAGTAATGTCATCCCCATTACCAAAAACACATTAAATGCTCGAATGTTCAGGATGTACAGGACTTTGTACTAGCTGTTGCCCACCAGACCCCCTGAGCTGTCTATCAGGAAGAAAACAAAGAAATCAACGCATTGATTACTGCTGGCTGTTGGGTTAGCAAGAGGGAAATGATCAGAGACACGCACATAGAGCCTTCAAAGATATTGATAATATTTTATTTCTTAAATTGGATGATGGCTACACTTTGTTTCAGTATCATAGACCACACATCATAGTCAGATAGACTCATATATATATTCATATTTATTAATATAGTTTCAGGCTGTTACATGAGACAGAAATGACTTCCAACTTGTTTTGATAACAATTATTTTGATCTGAGACAAAGTGATCCTCTTCTAAAGCTCCATGGTCTCTGAGACCGAAACTCTCTATTTTGCTGTCATTTGGTGCAACATGTGGCTGTTGTCCCCTCGTAGTACATGACTGCTTCAGTACCTGCCATCACATCTAAATTCTATCCCACAGTTTGAGAAACAGAGTCAGGCATGGTGGTGTACGCCTGTAATCTCAGCAGCTCAGGAGGCTTAGGTAGGAGGATTGCAAGTTGGAGGCCAGCTTCAGCAACTCCACTCAGTGAGAACCTGTCTCAAAATAAAATAAGGAAAAAAAAAAAAAAAGAAAAGAAAAGAAAAGAAGGGCCCAGAAGGTAGCTCAGTGGTTGAGCATTTGCCTAACATGTGCCTGGGTTGAAATTGCAGCACCCTCACCCCTACATGAAAAAGAAAGAACGAACAAATGAATGAACAGGTGGGACAGTGAGGAGGATTGGGGTGAGAATCAGGCCTCAGGAGATAGAGAGAGGGACTTCCAAAGTAGAGGTGATGACTCATCAGTCAAGTCTGAATGCCAGGTAGATTTACTTGCTGCTCCAACATCAGGATCCTGCACTCAAATCTCTGCTTTCTGGGAGGCCTGCATAGTCCAGGGAAGAGATGGCCAGGGACTGGAGAGATAAACAAAAGTAAGGTAAACAAAAGTAAGCAACAGTGGCTTGGGATTGATTTGTCAATGGCCTGGGTGTGCAGAGCAGGGCTGCTGGTAAGTGAGAATTACTATTAGTGGCAGTCTTCGTTTGTTTTCTGTGGCTATAACTGAATGCTGGAGATGGAATACTTTTTAATGAATAAAAGTTTGTCTGGCTCAGGGTTCTGGAGGCTGCGAGGTCTAAGAACTCAGGCTTGCATCTGCTAAGGGACCCTGCAGATGACATCTGACACAAGGTTGTCACATGTCCAGACAAGAGCCAGCCGCTAGCTCTGTTCTCTTTTGCATGAGCTCATGGAATCCTAATTACCCCTCAAAGCCCCACCTCTGAAACTCATCAACATATGCATTTTGGGATCAAGTTTCCAACAGGTAAATTTCGATACACACCCAAACCATAGCTGATGGCACATCCAGGAGGCTGGTGATGTTTCTAGGTCAGAGAAGTGAGGGGCAAGTTTACGGAGAATGTTCCATGAGTTCTCATGGCCATGCATGAGTCTTCACATATGTGAATGAGGCCCTAAGAAACTCAGTACCAAAAAGAAAAGAAAAATTCCAGCTTTGTAGAGCTTACACTCTAGTATTCTGTACTAGTTTTATTAGTTTTGGGTCCACTTTAATGCCTAAAATCTCACTTTCATTTGCTTTGAGAGATTCAGTCATTACTTGGCCCTCGTACTACCCAACAGTGATCTCTTTGTTGGAAAAGGTTTTCATCCTTGAGGCCCATCTTCTAGTGAATGTACTCAGGGATAATTTCCTTCCTCATTGGCAATTCTCAGGACCACCTTCCTACCTCACAGTTTTGAACCCTTGATGCCTTCCCTATTCTCCTTACTTCCCTCTCCTTAACAAATGACCTGAAATAGAAGTTCATGTTTTTGCTGGGTGTGGTGTCACATGCCTATAATCCCAGTGGTCTGGGAGGCTGAGGCAGGAGGATCTCAAGTTCAAACACAGCCTCAGCAATTTAGAGAGGCCCTAAGCAACTAAGCAAGCCTGGTCTCAAAATTCAAAAAATGAAAAGGGCTAGGGATGTGGCTCGGGTGGTTAGGTGCCTCTGGGTTCAATCCCAGGTACACCCCCCCCCCCAAAAAAAAAAACCCAAAACCAAAAACAAGAAAAAGAAGAAAAGAAATTTATGTTTTTACCTATCAAATACTTCAAATGGCCTGCCAATCCTATGAATCAGCTACTGTTACTACCACCCTCTTTTTTACAGATGAGGAAAATGAGAAGTAGGGAGATTAAGGATTTGCATAAGGTTGCATAAACTAAAGAGGGACAGGGAGATGCATGGCTGAGATTTGAACTCATGCCTGCAGGCTGCCTATTTCATTGATGCCAGAGAATGTTGAGGGTTTTTTTGGTTTGTTTTGTTTTTTGTGGTGCTGGGGATGGAACCCAGCACCACTGAGCCACGCCCCCAATCAGAATGTTGAGCTCTGACAGAAAGATGCCTTTGAAATGGAAAGGTGGACAGCTTTACTAGTGTATCCACAGGGTGGTTTTTGGCTGGACTTTGCTGGGCCCAAGCTCCAAGGTGGTCAGTCTTTTAAAAGGATGGAATATTCACACTGTTTTTGTTGGATAATTGCATGCCTTTAATTTGTGGTAGTATAAACAGAGTAGTAATCTAGCTTAGAAGTAGCCAGAAAAAGTTATTGGATATTATTTGCTTAGGTAGAAATGAATAATATTATGATCAGGAAAAGGTAACTTTGTAATATATTCTAATGGGCATCTCCTGACCAGACAGGTTTAAAAAAAAAAATGCCTTATGGAACAGGTGACAACTGCTTCCTTCCCTGATTAATATACTTGTTCCCTTAGATATTATGACAGTTAACATCTTAAGAGGAGATTGTAATTTTTTTTTAAATTTACAGACTTGAAACAGTGATATCTCTCTCTCTCTCTCTCACACACACACACACATACACACACACACAGAGAGATAAATGCTACTACTTAAGGTGTCTACCTTAATCAGAAAATTCTTCTCCTTCTTTTGGTGGTTCTGGGGATTGAACTCAGGGCCTTGCATGTGCTAAACATGCATTCTACCACTGAGCTACAGACCGGAAAATTCTAATACTTCAAGATACATGCAAATGTCAACTCATGCAAAAGAATGACTTACTTAGTAAATATGAAGTTCTCATATAGGATCCATATTGAGAATAAAGTTGTCCATCCTTGGTGGTGGCTTTTGGTCAGTGTAATGTGATTTAGTGTATTTCTATATGTACAAGCACAGGATAAATTATTTAAGATAGCATTTTCCATCAGGAGATATTTCAGTGGCTTGAAAACGTGAGTCTAAGTTAACTGTTCGGCCTTTGGAGATGAATCATTCCATTTGTTTGGCCCACTGGTAGAGTATTTAGATTAATGACTAAGTTTGTATTTAACCTGACAGAAACCAAAGAGCCAGATCAGATAGATGCACATGGTCTTCCTGAAACCCTGACAGAGGACAGAGTATGGGAAGGAGCACCCGAGTCATTAGTTTGTGATGAATGTTTGCAGAAAGTAATATTTCTGCCATTTTATGGATGGAGCAACTGAGGCACAAGAGGTTAAGTGCCTTGCCCTAGATCACAGGCGGTTTGGTAGATCCAGCAAAATCCAGCACTCATGCAGGCCCTGATTTTGCACTTGATTTTAAACATTTGTAAATGTTGCAAGTTACAGTTCTTGTATTTGCCCACAGGTAGGTTATAAACTAGATGCTGACAATCTGCCTAGGGGAAGGAAGCTACCAAGGTTTGCTGTGGAGAACAGCAAATAGGAGCTCAGGCTTCCTGTCCCATGAGCATGACCCTCCTGGACCGGCTGGCTCTTTGCTGATCCCCAGTGGCTTCTGTCCATGAGGATTCAATCAGCCTCAGGGGCCGGCTGGCCAGGGTGGGGGGCAGGAGGACTGTGACTCTGGGAGAGCTGCAAGTATTCAAGGTCTTGAACTTTATCAGGTTTGAATGTGTGATTGTGAAAGTAAAGAGCAGAGAAATGACAGCACTCTGTAAATCAAACGTAGAGAAGATCAAGACTGTCAAAGAGAGAAAAACAGGCTCTGTGCACAAACCCGGCTGGAAATCTACAGCGGGGAGAAGACTTTTATGTTCCCTCCAGATTTTGCTTTCTGGAAAACAAATCTCTTTCTCTGTCGTTTTTTCTAGAGAAACAGTATTCTTTGTTATGTTTCACAGATTTCTCTTTTAAAGTATTCATTGTTGAGGTTTAGATCTTGTTTTAGAAGACAAAGTAGAAGGAGAGGAGGAAGAAACCAGAAAGAAAAATAAGATGGAAAATATCTGAAGTGGTCTAGATTTTTCCCTATCAATAATGTGTTCTGGCTCAGAGGGTGTAGCTTCGTGGTAGAACATTTGCCTAGTATGGAAAAGGCCCTGGGTTCAATCACCAGCACCAAACAATAAATTAAATAAATAAGTTAGGATCAGATCAATTTACTTAGTTCTTTTTCTTCTTTTTTCCCCCTAATGTCAAATGCTAGTCATCAAGGCTGCCCTCCTTAATGACTTTCAGTTAATTCCATCCTATCTACTCCCAGTGAAGGTACTGCAGAGGGCTGGGATTCTTCTGTTGGAGCAAGAAGAAGCCTCAAGATTACTATCTTTGTCCTATGGAAGACACTGGAGTCTGCTGCTGGTATTTGCCAGAAACAGCAAGGAATGTTTCCTTGTTTCCTCTTCAAAGGAAGCAAAAACAAGTAAAGGACTTATGCCCCCACCCCTGTGCTTTCCTACCAGAATGTAATAAATGAAACCTTCACTACTGCTACTCAGAGGAGGCTTAAAGTCTCGTGGATGGTGGGTCCCAAAATTAAATAGGCACTCGAAGAAGTTCTTTCCCAGGAACTATTTTAACTCAGGGAACAGTTAGGTTATACGTGACATTGCATTGGGCATAGCATGCAAGTCTATTAGTCATAACAGATCCCACTAATACAGTGTTTACTATGTGCCAGGTACTGTGAGTGCCTTCCATTGAAGACATTTTTTTTTTTAAATCTTGTCAACAATCCTGTGAAAGAGGTACTTTAATTATCCTCATTTTACAGAGGAGGAAACTGTGGTACAAAAAATTAGGCAACTTGAATTGATCACAAAGCAAGTGGTAACATTCAAACCCAGGTAGGCTGGCCCAGAGTCCTGTGCTGATCCAGTGGCACCTAGAAATTTCATCAATACATGAGCCAGAGTGAATGCCATCTTTTCAAAACCACCATGAAGCCTAGAAAAAAATCAGTACTCGAGTGTTTTTCTAGCCTTCCATCTTGGAAGCTGTCTGTGGAACTTTGCCTAATAGGCTTTATAGAGGTGCCAACCTTCTAGACTGTAAACACTTCAAAACTAGGACCTACCTCTTATTTTTTTTCTTCATGCAATGCATACTCAGTGAATGTCAGGCAAGTGGCAGGAAGCTGGGGGCCTTTATAATGGTAGACAAGTCTTCAGTCCTAATTCTCTGCATATTTGCAACATAGCTGAAAAGAGAGGTCATATTTCTGAGTGTCCAATGTAGCAACTTTTAAGAATTTCTTGGGTACTTTTTCCTTCTAAGATCAACTTAAAGAGGGGTATATGCAATGTAACAAATCTCCAAAAGCTCATTTCCTCTACTTTTCTGCTTCTCTTTAGCAATTACTGCTGCTTCTTTGAAAACAAAAATGAAAACAAAAACACTACCAAATGGCAAGGAAGATCTCTGAGCCAAGAGCTCTGGGGCAGTGGTAGCTGGACCCTGACCTTAGACTTGGCATGACTGTAGCAAATTCCAAGAAGGGCCCAGTTCCTACCTGCCTAGGGTGTTGGGAATTTCTGTCTCTTTCACCTTCTTAGGAATATAAATGGTACTTTTTCTTCTGATGCCCTGATTGTTCCCATCCCTAGAAGCTGTATTAGGGGTACAGATTAGATAAAGGGGATGATTGTGGAGTTCACCTTATTTGGAGGGGACCAGGAGAGAAGAGGGGCATCTTTAACTTCCTGTCTCAGCATGAGGTGACAGACATCCTGGATTGCCTTTTGGAATTAAAAGTCCTGTCTCCAACATTTTCCAGAGAACTGTTTTGGAGAGTAGAGGAGTGGGAAGGAGTCACTGGCAGGGACCCCAAGGGGTCTCAGCTGCACCTCCATGCTCCCCTAACTTCTCATCTGTCCTATTTCAAGGAGGCAGAATAGGCTTCTGCTTTTAGTGGCCTGGAGTATGGGGGAATTCTCCATCTACAGAAAGGGAGGAGAAAATATCAAAAATACTGGAATCTGATCCCCCAAGTCCACTTTCAGAGTCCTTGAATCAGGAAACTTAACTGGATATTCCCTCCCTTTGGTGAGGAAAGCCATTGCTCCAGGAGCAGGGCCTCCACCCAGCTGGCAGCCCCAGGCTTTATGTAGCCATGCCAGTGGTAATTAATAATGATAATAAATACCACACTTCATAACCAAACCCAACCTGAGCATGACTGAATGATTGGACCTCTGCCTCCCACCTGCACGCTGTTAGCCTGCGAGTCCACACCCTTAGTCTCTGGCGAATCCAACTGCCCAGTTCCACCCACAAGGTCCTGCGTGGGGTTCAAAGGACAATCTATTCACCACCACCACCACCACCGCGAGATGCGGGGCACCATAGTGCTCCTACGCAGAACCCCAGGGAGTGGGATGGGGACTTAGGGGGTGCTCTGGCTTTGTCTTTACTTAATTTTGGAACATAATCAAAATAGGACAGTAATTTAGGGCCCGATAACCTCGCTTTAGTTTTTCAGCCAAATGCAGGAGGGGAGGACGTTTGATTCAACAACCCCAGCTCGGACCTGGAGTCCGCAGCTCCCAGGGGACCCCAATGTCCGTCCCGCCCCCAAGTCCTGGCATTCCTGATCGAGGTGGCCCGGGCGTCTCCACTCCCCCTCCTCCAGCGGCCACTAGTCCCCCTGGGCCTACCCGAGCTCTGCGGTCGCCGAAGTCGGGATCGCAGGGTCTCTGGACTCAAGCAGGCCGCGGGGAGGGAGGCCGGCGCCGGTGTGGAATTTCTTTATCGGACTTTGAGAGCTGCAAGCTTCTCCTTCGCTTCTTTAAGCGATCACAGAAAGACACCTTTCGATCTTTTGTCAGACATCTTGGCCCTTAATAGCTAAATTTATTTGGTTTAAGCGGCCACGGGAGAAGCAGGGAGGGAAGATCTTTCGTCGGTCATTGGGTGGCCTAGATAACAAGCTTTAAGGGAGAGGGGAAGAAGAAAGTAAAAAGGTTAATGGATGCGGGGTGGGCGAGCGGCGCCCAGCGTGGGGCTTTTATAGCGACCCTCCCCCGGTCGCCCCCTTATCGCGGCCCTAACTTACCCGCGGCGTATGAAGTACATTAAGTCACGTAAACAGCGCGCGGAGAGGAATGCCACCGCGGTGACCTTTCGTGCGCCGCTGCAGTGAGCCCACCTCCGCGCCGTGCTGGCGGCCGCCGGCGGCGCGCGGGGTCGGCCCCGGGCAGCGCCGGGAGAGGGGCCGCCGGGTCCCGCGCACCCTGGGACGTGATTCCCACCGCCTTGGGGACCTCGGCGTTGGATCTGCGTGGTCTTTACCCCAAGCCACACGCGGGGAAGGGGGGGGGGCGGAGAGCCGGGACAGGGAGTTGGGGCGACCTTCGCGCTTCCGCCACCACCTGACATTTCTAGAATATGTTGGATTTTTTTTTTTTTGAGAATTAAAAATAAAAGGAGGGAAGGAAAAGAGGAAAGAAACAAAAGGAAGGAAGAGAGGGAGAGAGAAGAAAGAATAAGATCAGAAGGAAGGAAGGGAGGTAAGAAGGGAGCAACGAAGGAAAAGAGAACTCTTTGCCTGTGGGGACTCTGGCCTGCGCTAGACTGAAGGTCGCTGAGAGTAGGGGGACAAGCCGTCCGGACCCGGCGACTGGCGCCTGACGCTGGGGGTTGGGGGCGCGCCAAGGTGACCCTGTGTCTTTGGACGAAAAGCGTCCCAGGGACAAAATGGATTATGGCATAAGCGAGAGGCCCCATAAAACCGGTTTAAAAAAAATCTTTAGTTAGAACCATGTTTTCTTTTCTCTCTTTTTTTTTTCTTTCTCTCTTTTTCTTTCTGAAAAGGCGCTGGAACGACAATGAAATGACAATATAAGGCACTTGATTTTGCGGGGGTAAAGGTGACGCAAGTCTTTGCCTGGGTCTCGCCGCTCCTCCGGAAGCAGCGCACCACAAAGTCCCCAAACACCCCTTCCGTTTTGGCAGCAGAGCCCCCGCCCCCTGCCCAATTGGCTCTTGTGTTCTGGTTGGATTCGAATCGCGTCTAGTGGCGTGGCGCGGCCCAAATAAATCAGCCCTCGGGACCGGCCGCGCCCCAGGGCCAGCCCTCTCCAAGGGTGAGGAGTACGGCTCGTTTTTGGAATGGTCGCTTTTGGGGTCTAAATAGTCTTGAGATAAACGGTTTCGTTCAATATTAGCAGGTTCCTAAAGAGGAGACAGGAGAAGCGAAAAGAAAAAAATATATTTTTTTTAAAGAAAAAATAGGAGGAAAAAAAAACAAGAAGAAAAAAGAAATTCTTAAGAGAATTATCTGTTTATGTGGGCACTATTGGGTTTTATACAGCTCTTGGGTTCCTCCTTAGTTTGGGGTGTGCCTCTTTCCTCTGCACCCCGGATTCTGCTGACATTTCAGACCGGATTAGAGGAATCTCAGTGCCCGGGGCCTGGAGCCCATGGGGGCTGGCTCTGAAAACCCGCCTCTGTCGGTGGTTGTTTGTCCCCAGCGCCAAAGTCTTTGCCTCGGAAAAAGGCAAATTGGGGCGGCCAGACAACCTGGTTTTCTGTCTTAATCGACTGTTCAGGTTTAATAGTTTTGTTTTATTTTAAAAATAACTTATATGGAAAGCATTTCTTTATCCATTCCCTCGTTTGATTGGAAAACCAATGTTTATTATAAAAAGGTATAACTTGTGGCCTGAAAAGGAACAATTACTTATTTTTCCCTTTGGTTTGGGCATTCTTAAGTGATGGGGAATATTAAGGTTAAAATGCTGGGTTCTCTCTCGAACCCTTACAGCAGCCCGAACATTGTTGAATTGGTCAATATCCGTCCAGCAGCTCACCTCTGTCGCATGGGCGCCGAGGTCAGTGCGCCCTCCTAATGCTGCAGGGGAGCTGCAAGAAAGGCAGGACAGTGGGGGTTAGCTATCTCCCAGGAAATCCACACCGATATCATCATATTTGCAAATATAAAGAATCATAGAGGATAGGTAGGAATCAAGCTCGTGCCAGGGCTTGATCTCCTCCAGGGCTCAGCTTGGAGGCCATTCACAGCATGGATGCAAACCTAACCAAAGCATTTATTTTTTTTTAGCAAGCATGGACTTTAAAAAAATTTACTTTTAATAGTAAATCTGAGAAACATTTCAAAAACAATTGGACTCAAAGGAAAATAAATGTCCAGAACATTAAAATAACCGCTCACAAAAGAACTCTGCAAAACCCAGTCCATTTGGTCGGAACTCAGCAAAGAACCGAGTGCAAGACATCTGAAGCCATGGTGGGAATTGAGCGGCCGGCCAACGTTACTCCGGTAGTTGCATTCGATCGAACTCAGGTTAAACTTTAAAGGCCCTGGATCCTGCTCCGGTCACCAATCTCTCCATTCCAGAGTTTTCTACCTTCAGCGTTTCCGAAATGCGGCCACGCTGAAACTGGGAGCCGAAGTAGTGATTGGGGGAGGCAAAGAGGAATGTAATAAAAGTGACTAAATTGAACGAGAACGGTTTATGGACCTTCTCTGTAGCAATTTAAAATTCAGAAGTGTTTAGCAACAGTTTACAACGAAGAATTTAAAAAATGGAGAATTTTACCCAACTTCCTAGAGTCCGCGCCCCCCCCCCTCCGGGTCAACGCGAAACTCTTTCCCCCTCCCCCGTCCCCTAGGGATCCACAGGTTCACCACTCACTGTTATATTGCCAGGAAACCTACCCTTCGCAACCAGATCTCACAATCAATCGAAACCATATTTTACAATGCACCTATCTATCCCTGTTCAACTCTGATTAGGTTCCTCTTCCTTCCCCAATGAAAAACAAAACAAAACAAAAACACACAGCCCAAACGCTTTCAGGGAGACTGACCTTTGGAAAATCATTTATTTTGATTTACCTCGGGGGTGTGTGTGTAAAAATCCAATCCCACAAGACAACTCCTTCTGCTTAGTTAAATGCTCTCTCCGCAGCCTTCTGGGGTCACGCCTGTCGGAAGAAATCCGTTTTGTGAGCGAAAGGGAGCGAGACATATATCACGGCTCCTGCCGCGGACGAGCCTGCGGCCGTGCGACTCGCTGCTGACAGATCGGCACTGATAACCCCGCGATGTTCATTTCCAGTCCCTTGGCTGAGGACCGTATCAGTTTGTACATAGTTGTGATAATCTTTTAGAGGGAGAGAAGGTGTGTGTGTGCCTGCGCGTGTGTGAGGATGGGGGTGGGGAACCAATATTTTGCGCTGTGTCCAGGGAAGGTACCACCCCACCCCCTTTCCAACTACTTATTTGCAACCTACCTGATGCCCAGGAAAAGCTCTGAGTAAACATGACAACAAAACTGAACGTGCGCCCTAGGACACGACTGGAAGGGAACCCCTCTTCCATCCTGCGCATCGCACAGCCTAACCTTGCCTTACTTGACAACTCCAGGGTTAAAAGTTCCCTAAGGTTGGCTAGAGAGTATCCTCGAAAACTTCCCGAAACTTCTCAGGAATTTAGTATATATTTTAAGAACTGGGGAGAGGTAGGGAGTTGGACATCCAGGCCCCTTCTTTCCCAAGTCCTAGGAGCCCGGATCCCCAAAGGCCACTACGACCTGAACTCTAGCATCCCGAAATAGGGTCGGGGAAAGTTTAAGGTCAGTTACACACAACTGCGGAGCAAAAACTTATTTAACGTGGAGGGAGGAGTGAGGAGCGCCAGAGAAGCAAAGCACTTTCCCGGCTCATTTTGGGGGCGCGCTGACCCAGGAGCTGGCGCGCCCCTCCCTCAGCGGTGGCGGCGCGAGACAGGTTCTCCGTGCCAAGGTTCCCTCCCCTACTCCAGGGTGTGTGTGTGTGTGTAACTGGGGGCGCGAGAGGGTGCTCTGTGGCAGGATGGGTGTGGGTCGCCAGCCAGGTCAGGCGTTCTGTCGCCTCCGCCCCTCCCCCGGCTCCCTAGGCTCGGCGCCCCCTGGGTGGAATCTCCCCAGCTACGGGGACGGTGCTAGCCACTCAGCCCACGCCAGTAGGCTGCGCGGCGCTTATTGTCTGCCGGGGCGGCGCGCTCCCCTCCCCCCCCTCCCCACCCTCTTTTCTCTCCTCCCCTCGATCCCTCCTCCTCCTCCTCCTCCTCCTCCTCTTCACCTCCGCGCCCAGCTGCTTCCAGAGCGCAGTTCCGACCCACAGCCTGGCACCCTCCGGCGAGCGCTGTTTGTTTAGGGCTCGGTGAGTCCAATCAGGAGCGCAGGCTGCAGTTTTCCGGCAGAGCAGTAAGAGGCGCCTCCTCTCTCCTTTTTATTCACCAGCAGCGCCGCGCAGACCCCGGACTCGTGCTCTCTCACCGGCGCCCTCGGCCTCTCTCTGAGCCCGGGAGCACCCTCCGCCGCGGCCGTTCTCCATGCTCAGCGCTCGCCCGAGGTTCGGCTGCTTCCTCCTTTGCTTGTTGTCTCCCTACTTTCCTCCCTTCTACCCCTACCAGTCGCGGGCCTCTCGGCCTCCGGCCCTCTCCCGCCCGCGGTCGGCTCCGAGGGTGTCTCCCTCCTCCTCTCTGGGAGGGCTGCAGCGGCTCCCAGGTTCCCGGGACACCACGGACCAACTTCTGGTGTCTTTTCCTCTCCCCTAAGTGCTTATCTGCGCGCAGCCTTATCTCCGAGTTATCTCAGTGCAAAGGGGCGGGAGCCGGTAGTCAGGCTGGTAGAGAAACTTCTGGCTATCTTGCCCGGGTCTGTGTGTGGGCATTATAATTTTTAGTGTGGTTATCTCTGATGAGCCGAAGCGATTTGGAAAAGCAGCCTCGAGGAGGCCCGCCTGGCAGCTTTTTGCTTCCTTCCCCACCCCCTCTAAGTCTCCCTGTCATTCTTCCTGCTCTCCCCTTTGGGGTGGCCTCGACTGCGGGGCGGTCTCCCGCCCCCTCCCTTGCGTTTCCCCCTCCTTTTCTCGGCTCTCTGCTCCACCCCGCTACGTCCTATTCCGGAACGGTCTGGCCTTTCCCTGGCTGGGGATAACCGCGGGGTGGGCCCGGGTGGCCCGGCCGGCGTGAGATCGCTCGCTGGTGGCTGCAGACGCGGGCTGTGGCTAAGGTGTGCGGGCCCGCAGGGACGCCTGTGGGGCGTGAGGCTCCTGCCCCATAGTTTTTCCTTACTATTCCTGCCAGGAAGATCTTGAACTGCCATCCCAGCCCTGACACCCCAGTTTCCCTAGGCTGAGTGCATTTCTCTGGGGTTTGTGTTGGGTCTGGTCAGCACGGTTCGGAAAGCTCTGGGGACAAGCGGCGGTTTCGTTTTCAGGAGCAGGTTGCCTTCCTTGAGCTAGCGATTTCCACTTGGAGAACAGGGAGGCATTCCCGGAGAAGGGCACCCTGAGTGAGGCGGGATGAGACACGCAAAGCTACTATTCTTTTGTGTGTCATCAGCCCGGAGGGAGCCACTCTGGGGCGGAAGGAAAACCTCGGCCAGTTTGGCGGTCACTCCTAGCAACTGGCGCGCGTGCAGAGGAAGGATGCTGCGGAGAGGGTGGGCAGAGAGGGCTAGGGGGACCAAAGCCGTGCGGGTGAAAGAAGGAGGGTATCCTTGGAGGACCCTGTGGCTGCTGCGCAGGCTCCATTCTCCCTCCTCGACGCCGGGGTCCAGAGTAGAAAGGGACCTTTGAGGGATCTAGAAGAGCTAGAAGAAGGAGTGGAGGTGAGGTGGTGCACTGCCTAAACCTTTAGTAAGGCCTCTTTAATCTCTTTTACCGTCCCTGCCCTCCCAACCCCGCCTCAGGAGCTAAAAGCTAGCTAGAAGCAGCGCCGGACCGTGGATGGCCTTGACTGACGGCGGCTGGTGTCTGCCGAAGCGCTTTGGAGCCGCGACTGCGGACGCGGGCGACTCCGGGACCTTTCCATCGCGGGACCTCTCCACGCCGCCTTCCCCCATCTCTTCCTCGTCCTCGTCCTCCTGCTCCCGCGGCGGGGATCGTGGCCCCGGCGGCGCCAGCAACTGCAGGACGCCACAACTCGACACACAGGCGGTGGCGGGACCTGCGGCCCGCTCGTTGCTGCTCAGCCCCTACGCCTCGCACCCTTTCGGGGCTCCCCACGGACCTTCGGCTCCCGGGGTCGCTGGCCCCGGGAGTGCCTTGTCGAGCTGGGAGGACCTGTTGCTCTTCACTGACCTCGACCAGGCCGCGACCGCCAGCAAGTTGCTGTGGTCCAGCCGTGGCGCCAAGCTGAGCCCCTTTACACCCGAGCAGCCCGAGGAGATGTACCAGACCCTCGCCGCCCTCTCCAGCCAGGGACCCGCCGCTTATGATGGCGCGCCCGGGGGCTTCGTACATTCTGCAGCAGCTGCAGCTGCAGCCGCGGCGGCAGCCAGTTCCCCAGTCTACGTGCCCACCACCCGCGTGGGTTCCATGCTGCCAGGCCTGCCGTACCTGCAAGGCGCGGGCAGCGGGCCCTCCAACCATGCGGGTAGCACGGGGGCGCACCCTGGCTGGCCCCAGGCCTCAGCCGACAGTCCCCCATACGGCAGCGGAGGCGGCGCGGCGGGCGGTGGGGCCGGGGGCCCTGGCAGCGCCGGCTCCGCCTCGGCGCATGCCTCTGCGCGCTTCCCCTACTCGCCGAGCCCTCCCATGGCCAACGGCGCAGCGCGGGAGCCTGGGGGCTACACTGCAGCGGGCAGCGGGGGAGCGGGCAGCGTGAGCGGCGGCGGCGGGGGCAGCCTGGCGGCCATGGGCGGCCGGGAGCACCAGTACAGCTCGCTGACGGCGGCGCGGCCGCTGAACGGGACGTACCACCATCACCACCACCACCATCCGAGTCCTTACTCGCCCTACATGGGAGCGCCATTGACGCCTGCCTGGCCGGCTGGACCCTTTGAGACTCCGGTGCTGCACAGCCTGCAGAGCCGCGCCGGAGCTCCGCTCCCGGTGCCTCGGGGCCCCAGTACAGGTAAGGGTCGCGCCGCAGTGTAGGGGTGCGTGACCGAGGTGCTGGAACACAAGGGGGTCTGGAGCAGCTACTTGACTGGTGTCCCGGAATGGATTTGCAGGACTGTGGCAGAATGACCAGAGACTAGTGTTTTTTATTGTGCGAACTATCCCAGTTTCTTTCTAGGAAAAAGACTAACTTGCACTTACGTGTCTCTGAGTCTTGCAGAAGTTGGGGGGTCTTTGATGAATATTGAGTGGGCAATTGGGAAAAATTGAAGTTGGGAGGGAACTGCCAGAGCCTTGCCTTGAGTTTTACCGCATACCCCAGTTTGGACAAACGGAATAGTGAGATTCTGCTCTGGGATAAGTTTGGAGGAAATGTTAGGTGCTTGATTTACTCTCTCCCCAAATACACACGTATTTATGTACAAGCACTCGTGTGGTGTATTTTCCTCTTGGGAATGGGGATTGAATCCAGGGGCGCTTTACCACTAAGCTACACTCCCTGCCCGCTTAAAAATATTATTTAAAAATAACATTGCTTAGTTGCTGAGGCTGGCCTCAAACCTGGCTGCCCTCCTGCCTAAGCCTCCCAAGTGGCTGGGATTACAGGCCTACACTATGGGACTAGGGAAGAAGGTATTTAAACAAGTTCCAGGAGAGTAAAGGAACCCGGGATCCAGTGGACATTCCTGCCCCCTCAAGTGAGAGGAAAAAGATGAGAGGACACCTAGATTAGACAGCCTTGTGACTTTATACTGATGGTCGGCTAGTGGATATGTGTTAGGGTGGGTGGGGGTCTGGGGCTGCTACTTCCACGTGGCCAGGCTGGGATCCAGGGATCCAGGAGCAGGGCCACCTATTTTATTCTTCCTCCAGAGTTTAGCCCACCATTTTTGCAGTTGTTCCATTCATATTCTCATTCCTGTGTCTGGGGACCATTTTAGGATAAAGTGGGAAAACAAAATTGTCAAATACGGAGAAATAGAGAAATACCTTATTTTGGAAAGTGTTTGGTTCTGCCCTAGCAGGAGAAGGTCTGAGTCAGATTGTTTGACTGCTTTTCTCAGCCCCAGCATTCTGAGTCCTTGGTGCATTCACGGGTCTTTTTGGTTTCACCTGTTGTTTCTAAAGAAAAGCAGAACTTTTACTGTTTGTTGGAGGTGAGTTGTGGGGAGAACTCAGCAACAGAAGTGACAAGAAAGGAGGCATATCAGTCCAAAGTGTCCTATCTTGGTGTCTTTTGTGCCCCAAGTCTGGGCTTCTCCTAGGAGCTTCCATTTAAGGATATGGAGGACTTTTAGGGATTCTAATTAGGTAAAAAGGGGCCTGAAAGTGAAAGAAGGGATTTGAACAGCCCCCCTTGTAACATTAGGGACAGGGCAAGACTTTTTGGTAACAAGTGCTTTCTCTTTTCCTTGAGGTGCTGGAGATTGAACCCGCAGCCTCAAACATGCCGGGCAAGCACTGCTCTCCTCTAAACCACATCCCCAGCCTTTTTTTTTTTTTTTTTTAACATATAGGCTTTTTCATTTTAATTTAATTAATTTGCCAGGTACTGGGATTGAACCCAGAGCCTGGCGTGTGCTAGGCTAGTGCTGTACCACTGCACATCCCCAGCCACTCTTTTCACTTCTTTCAAGACTGACCTAACTTCTCCAGTCCTGCAACGATGGCCCTAGGGACCATCTTTACCAACAGTATGCGGAGCAGAGGCAGAGGACTCTGCTGAGATTTGCCCTGTTGGGTTAGGTCTTGAGAGATCCAAAGATTGTCACCCTTTCTTCCAAAGAGGAACCCATGTTTGGCTCCCAGAAACAGAGAGACTGCATGTAAGGGATCTTCAAAGAATGAGAAGCGGGTGGTGGTTAGGTTGTGAAGCTGCGGTCCTGTTGAGAAAGCGGTAACTGCAGTTTGAGCAGGATCCTGCAACTCTGCCTGTTGATTGACATACCCTAACTTGATCTCCAGATTCCTTTCCTCCAGGCTTCTAACAGGTCTCGTCAAGGTGGGGGGGGGGGAGAGAAAGAGAGAGAGAGAGAGAGAGAGAGAGAGAGAGAGAGAGA